GGTGGCGCACACCTTTAATCCCAGCACCTGGGAGGCAGAGGCCGGCGGATCTCTGTGAGTTCGAGGCCAGCCTGGTCTACAGAGCGAGGTCCAGAACAGCCAGGGCTACACACAGAGAAACCCTGTCTCAAACAACAGCAGCCAGCTCTTCGCAAACTAGAAATCAGATGGACAGTCCTCAGTCTCGTCAGGGAATTGTTAGGCAGACAGAGGACTCCATGACCAAAGATTGACAACATTGCTTTTCAAACAAGGGAAAAAGCCAAGGGTTCTGGCTGATCCACTCCTGCAATTTCAGGTTTTAGTCAGCACTGTGAGGCAGAAAATACAAGTGTTGAGCACTTTACACTGACTGACCCAGTTCTCACACACCCAGACCGAGAAGACACTGTTGTTCAGATCTGCATCAAGGGCCAGGGCTCCCTAGAAAGACAAAGCTTCCCACAATGTCCAGCTTGGTTGTATTTGGCAGTCTTAGGATTAAGTATTTCTGAGTTCAAAGCCCTGTACAATGTTTGTGTCCTTCTCATATGAACTCAATGATTTGAATGTCTTGAGTAGTTTGTAGTCCAAATCTGATCTTGGGGTGGTGGTTGTCCATTTAGTGGCATTACCACAATCCAGGTGGACTCATTGTTGCAGGACCCCATCATCTTATTGGAGACCTTAAAGGTTACTGTTAGGAATGGTCGTGGTTTGTTGCAGAAAACTTAAACATTTTAAATGCCATATTCAGCAGATCTCCAAAAGGTTTGAGGACCACGATCTATTAAGCATATCCAGGATACACAAACTTAGTTCCTAGTCACCTGCTTCAGACTCAAACCTGAAAACACGTACAGGAAGCTAGATGAAGCTTATTTCTAGAATTAGTTAGTACTCTGTATAACCACTAATATCATGACAGAAAGTTTATAAATATACATAATAATCTTATAGATTTTTGAGACAATATTTATGCCTTAAGAAAAGGCATAAATATTTAGAGAGTCAAATGAAACCCAAAAGATTATGAGATTAGTGGCAATAGAATAGCTCCTTATTTTTTGTTTTCCTCTGTCCCATACCTGGTGACTCTTCTGATGAGACAGATTTTGGGTTTTCCTTTAACAAGCATGCTTGGGTTTAGAGAAGGAGAGAGCCACACTCCAACCCCAAAGTCAGCTCTAATTTTTAATTGAATTGGGACTACAAGGACCGTTTGCCACTTATGTCTGTAGAATGCAGCAGAGACAAGCATTTGGGGAGATGTAAGCCCTTCTACCCTGCTGGAGGTGGGCGAGACCGTTAGGCCAATTTACTCATTTCCTTGGAACATTTTCTCTTGATGGTCCATCCTTTTTCTTCAGATGTTTCACTTGCCAGTGGTTTCCAGATTCCTTAGTTGGATGCTTGTATTCTCCTGGAAAGATAAAAGCAAAATCCTGCCCTAACCCTAACACTGGAGGTTCCTTTTTTGGCAGGTTATATCTTTCCTAGGGTTTTTTTTTTTTTTTTTTAAGATTATACATAAAAGTGTTCTTCCTGCATGTGTGCCTGCATGCCAGAAGAGGGCACCAGATCTCATTACAGATGGTTGTGAGCCACCATGTGGTTGCTGGGAATTGAACTCAGGTCTCTAGGAAGAGCTGTCAATGCTCTTAACCTTTGAGCCATCTCTCCAGCCCTCAGCAAAATGTTTTCTGGCAATAAAAAAGTATTATCTTTCAATTAAATTTTTTTTTTGAAATTTTGAAACTAAATATACCTTAGTATGTGTGGATAAATATGCCTGTATTCCCCTTTTTCTTTATATATAAATTCAAGGTTAAAGTGTATTTATTTTTAGATCACAAAGGACATTCACTTTGAATTTCAGCCTGTCTTTTGCAAGCAGCTTATAAATTTAAATCACTGTAATTCTTATGTGCCTGCCTCTGCCTCCCAAGCACTGGGATTAAAGGTGTGAACCACCGCCTGGTATAGATTCCTTATAGTAGTTATTCTCAGAGGGTTGTCCTGGTTTAATTTGGTTCTCCATTTCCCCTTACTTTTTAGTGTCAGGGTAAACTTTTAAGTTTTTTGAATGCATAATCTATCATTCTTGCTGATTTATTCTGAACTTGTTCCCTGGCAAATTTTAATATTCTAGTCTTCATTAAACATGATTTATCCACTGTTTCATTATTTTCAGATGTTTTGTCTGCCTTGCTTGTATGAGCTACATACAACTTCATGTCTTTGCTAGGTTATTTTGCCATTTCCGTTCATGCCTCCCATGACCAGACATCTTCGCCATTCACCTGCCCGTGAGTGGCTTTCCATTTTGATGGCCGTGTACCTGTACCATTGCACATGCGCCGTGAGTCGGGGAAGATACAGGTTTTCCTTTGGCCTTCCTTAGCTGTTACTTCTGCGCGTTGTGCTGATCTGGTCGTGCTTCCTCAGTGATAGCCATTCCATCCCCCAGTCTACAGGCCGTGGCTTTCCGTTTAGTTTCGGTTCTGTCAGTGACTGATGAGCCATCAGTAGACCTGTGCCAGCCAAATGCTGCGACCATCTCGTCGGTCCTCACTGCGCAATGGCGCCTCTTCTTTCTGGGGAGACGGGTGATCAGTGTAGGATGGGGATTATAAGCAACTGGGCTGTTGCCTCAGTGCGGGAAGGCACAGCCCCCTTTGCTACCACATCCTGGTCACAAAGGGATTCAGATGGGTACCATTTCCACTGTTTTAGTTCGGGCATGTGACTTCTCCTGCCTCTATCTCTGGGGCTGGAGAACTCACCCAGGAGTTGCTTTGCTCAAATAAACCTGTTCTTTTACTTTTTTTCAGTTTGGCTTGATCTGGCCTACTGCATTGACAGAGAAACCTATTATTGCAATACAGAAAACCTATTACTCATTAGCATTTAAAAATTTAAAGTTAATAAAGCACTGTGTAATCTATCTGTCTCAGTTAGGGTTTCTATTGCTTCAATGAAACACCATGACCAAAAGGCAAATTGGGGAAGAAAGGGTTTATTTGGCTTACACTTCAGCATTGCTGAAGGAAGTCAGGACTGGAATTCAAACAAGGTGGGGTCCCTGAGGCAGGACCTGAAGCAGAGGCCATGGAGGGGGGCTACTTGCTGGCTTGCTTCCCATGGCTTGCTCAGCCTGCTTTTTTTATAGAATCCAGGACCACCAGCCTAGGGATGACACCACCCACAATGAGCTAAGGTCTCCACCACTGATCACTAATTGAGAAAATGCCTTACAACTGAATCTTGTGGAGGCATTTCCTCAACTGAGGCTCCTTCCTCTCTTATTACTCTAGTTTATGTCAAGTTAACACACAAAATCAGCCAGTATACTATCTCTGAAGATCTTTATTGCCCCTTTTTGTTTATTAAGCATATCTTTTAAAGTGTGATTAGATTTTTCTATCACTGCTTGTCCTGTAGGATTGTGTGGTATACCTGTAATATGATTTATGTTGTAATATGCAAAAAACTGTTTCATTTTTACTAAGAGACATACACTGGAGCATTGTCAGTCTTAATTGTACAAGTAGCCCCATAATAACCATACCTTCCAATAACTGTGTAATTACAGAATCAGCCTTTTCAGGACTTAAAACAGTTGCCCATTGAAAGCCTGTGTATGTATCTATAGTATGATGCACATACTTTAATTTTCCAAACTCTGAAAAATAAAACACTTCCATTTGCCAAATTTCATTTCTTTGGGTGCCTTTTGGGTTACTTCCTGCAGGTATTGGAGTTTGATTATACAAAGAACAAGTACGACATTTCTTTATAATTTCCTTGGCTTGTTGCCAAGTGATAGAAAGAAACCCTTTCTTCAAACCTTTGCTATTAACATA